AAAAGACTGGGTGAAGGAGAGTAGGGGGAGCATGGTCAGAGAGGTGGACAGGCCAGAAGAAAGGGGGAACTTAGGAAGGTCAAAAGCAGAGCCTTTGAAAATGGAGCAATCAATAGTGTTGAGTACAGCAGAGATTTGGTTAGATAAAGATTGGTTATTAGGTCTGATCTAATGGACATTCTTCGAGACCTTTACCAGTGCCATTTCTGTGATGATCCTGGCAAGAGTGCGGGTGTCAGAGTGCATTTTTCTAAAGAATGAAAGTTAATGGAGAAGGCACAGTCAGAGATAGCAGAGTCACATGTCTCCCACAGGTCCATAATGTTCATGAGGTGATTTCTGATTGGAGATACCTTTGTAATATATTTCAAGTCCCTTAAAATAGCCAGGAAATGAAAATTATGCTTTCATGTCTTTTAACAACAATCACATTTTAGTATTTTTAAAAAAATCAATAGATTCAAGGACATGCACTGCATTCATACTAATAGATGACTATATGAACAATGCAAACAGTTATCATCCAAAGAGCTAAACACTGGGAGATATTGTTTAGACTCTGCATGTTCAATCTTTTGACATTGTGACACGACACTTACACCTACAAAATTCATGCTTGAGAACCTCACAACTGAGTTACCAAAAAATAAAAAAGTTGCAAAATACCCTCATAATGTTTGTTAAGTTTATAATTTTTGTGGAGGGCTGTGCTCATACCTATCCTTAGGTTGGACAAACCTTTCATTTTTTGAGCTGTTTGAGATGAAGGAAGAAGGAAAGACAGAGTTGTACATGAGTTGTCTGAAAAAAAAAAATCAATGGTGAAGGAAAAGTTGTATTCCTGAAACACAAGGGCCCAACAGCTAAAATGAGGTTCTACAGGAGATAGAAGAATGGAGGGTGACAGAAAAGCTTATGATATGGAAGGGAGGAGCATATGAATCAGTGTGGGTAATGAAGCTACCAGAAGTGGAGACAGTATTAAGAAAATTCCCACCTCAAAACCTCTATTCTCTCAGTCATTTGGTGGGGGTGGGGAACATCTATTGAGAATTGAAAGAATAGAAAGTTTTATTACAGTGGTCAGGAAACTTGAAGACGGTAGGAAAGATTTACACATGATTTCTAAGGACAATGTGTGGAGGATCTAACCAGAGACAGAAAATAAGTGAGCAATGTTGTTGATGACACAGTTATCATAGAGACCACGAAACTTCAGTGGCATTCATCAGACTCACTTGATTTACTGCACTAGGCTGAGACTAGGCGTACTACAGAGGAACTAGAAATTGATCCCAGTTCTAGGGAACAGAGGACATGAGACACTTTCAGGAGCTGGCGAAAGGAAAGTTCCAGTAACAGCTCATGGTGGCATAAGTTGACTATAACGGCAGAAAGGAGTGAAAATTTGGATCAAAGAAAGGGACAGAGCAGTTTCTGATCACAGACAGAGCAGTTTATGATCACAAACAGAGGAGTCCTGGGCTAAAAACGAGACTAGAGTGGCTAAAGAGAAGGGGATTTAGAAAGCAATGCAATTTATAATTCCAAATCTTGAGAAGGTGGGATATGACTAATATTTTCATTGGCAGTTTCTCAGTATCCTGCCTAACCCAGTAATGGACGTATTGAGAATGACAGGCCATAGACTTTTAGGAACATGAGGGAAGAGAGTAAGAGATCAAGTGATGGTGGTGGTGAAAGCTGAGGCAGAGAGGAAATGGGGATGTAGCTCAGTTGATAGAGTACTTGCCTAGCAGTCAAGTTTGATCCCCAACACTGCATGAACCAGGTAACCTGGTACATGCCTCTCATCTCACACTCAGGAGGTAGAGATAGGAGAATCAGAAGTGAGGTCATCTTTGGCTATATAGTGACTCTAATGACAGTTTGAAATACATGGTACCCTGCCTCCAAAAGAAAAAAAAAAGATAACAAGAATGTTAAAGGAGAAAACATCTACCCCTAAAGTAGAGATGAAACAATGACGTAGAAGATGGTGGAGTTCCAGGCAGCACATGATGCAGGGTACAGTTCACAGCCTTGGGGAAAGAAACAGGATGTAGTCTTAGTTCTGCAGAGACTGCTAGCTGGGTAGGGGTTTTTACAAGAAATGAGGTTTGACCAGCTAGATTCAATTATTTGACATTGTATATATTTTAGTATTACTGTGTACCCTACACATATACAGATTCAGTCATTCTACACAGAATGCACTATACTATCTGTGTATTCCATACATACACAGATCCAATCTATATTGTATATATTATAGTATCATTGTGTATGCTATACATATATACAACTATAATGTGCCAAGATTCAATAAAAATTAAAAACATGAATACTAACAAAACAAAGCAAAAAAGAAAGTTAGTTCCAGGAAACCAATGGTAGGAAGAAAGGAAAGGAAACAGATAAAAAAAGAGTTAGGCTGGAAGAAGAAAAGAACATTGTAGCCAAAAGAGGCCCATGGCCTGTGGTGGTATGTTAGGACTGTGGTAACGTGTGAGGAACAGGATTCCCAATCAGCACTATCCCTTATACCCAAGCTCCAGGAACAGGAACTTTGTGCTCAAGCCAAAACAGCACTCCTGGGCACTGGATATTCCTATAGGAGAGCAGTCTTGTCCTAAGTAAAAAGTGCTAATGCATGTATTTCTGAAAAATTTCCAGAGTTTAGTAGAGAATAGAAGCCTCAAAGTCTCTCCTACTGGTTTCAAAGGGATTTATCTTCTCACGTCTACAGATTCATAGCCCCTCCTGAGGAGGGAGGGTCCAAGGATAGGGACCAAAATTCAAAACATCCTTACTCAGGAGAAATGTCTCTCCATTGTCATAATTCCCAAGTGAACAGCAGATGGCAGCAAAGAGTTGGAAAAGGTGGTACACCCCAGAAATAGCTCCAGGCTGGCCAGATTGTAAAAGACTTCAAGTTCTGAGGTCCTAGGATGAAAGTGACATCATTCCTTTCTCTGGTCCTGAGAACTAAATCTTCACCAAGCCTGGTGCCAACGATGTGTTAGCAGCAAAAGCATATCACCCCTCATTACAGTCGTATTTCTCACTTCCGGAGTTAGAGACCCAGAATGCCAGCAGCATTCCTTCTAAGCAGATACAGTTGCCTTCTGAGATGAACTGACCTTTGGAAATGATATTGCTTCCACCCTTCCCTCTGTAGCACTTCCTACACTAGGGTATATGGAAGAGCTGTTCTGGGAAGGAATTTAGGCTGGCCTTTGAACTCTGGTTTTGTTACTTATGGTTATGGAAAAGGTACTGAAATGTTTGAGTCTTGATTTTCTCCTCCAAAGAGGATTCTTCAATAGGCTATTTACAATGTGTAATAAACAAAACACATATTATAAATGTATTCTGCACACAATAAACAGTCAACAGAGGGTAGTCACAATTATATACTGTGGTTCTTATTATTGCTGCTGGTGTAATCGCTTCTCCTCTCCGGGTGAAGAGGAACGAATTACTAAGAATCAGGTTGAAACAAAAATAGAGAACCCCAACTTCCTCAGCTCTGTCCCATCAAAGAGCACAGCAAATGATCCAACAGAAGGCTGTAGAGAATCAGTACTGTTTAGAGAGTGTGGTTTCCCAGGCTGTCTTGCTTCATCCCCCTACCCAGAAGGGAAGAGAGCTGGCTGCCTGGTATTTTCCATGTCAGACAAGCGTAGCCCAGCTACTGGGTAGCTTTTGATGCTAAACTCAGAGTGAAGCAAAGTTTCAATAACAAGCATGTGGACTCGGTCATGATTTCTATGACATACCTCAGAAGAAAGGAACAATGCAAAGGCCTGATGCCCTGCTTCAGTTCAGAATTAATGTACCTTATGAGACTTGACTATTTTTAGGAGATTGTTTCGTATGCCACTGGGCTTGGAGCTGTGAAATGGCACATGTCTCCTCCTGGATGTTTGAACATCAGTCTCCTCTGAAAGCTCAGTAGAGAAAGGAGTACTTTCAAACCAAATTAAAGGAAAGAGTTCTTTGACAGTGTGAGACCCCCTAGTGGTACCACAACGTAAAAGCAGCCTCAAAGGATATTCAAACACAAGATGACAGGAACCAGGGAAGAGGAGGCAAATCTGACTGACAAGAAGCAGCAGAACCCAACAGAACTTCCAGAGTACCATCTAGTGAGCTCAAAGACCCAAGTGGCCTCATGCCATTTTTAGAGTGATAAAAATGGAATTTTGCTGCCCGAGGAGGGGGAGGAAAGTATTGCTCTTCCAGAAAAAAATCTCAGCAACCTAGACAGAAAGGCTCTGGTGGATGAGAAGGAAGCCACAGATCAGCTCTCACTGCAAGCCCAAGGGCATAGGAACTTTCCTTTCCTTCTGTCTTCAATGGGTGGAGTGGGTAATTTCAGCAACATCATGAGGTCACCAGTAGATCAGGTTCCTTTCTAGACTGTCTCTACCAGGTTGGTAGTATCTCACTCTTGATCAAATTGACATTTACGACCATTTCTTTTACATGGAAGATACTATTTTCATCTGCCTCTTTCTTCGGTTCCACAATCCCCTATTCCCTGCATTCCTGACGCCTTTCAGTAGCTTCTTTGGTTCTGAGAAGATGGATACAATTGGCAAGAAGGCGAAGTCCCTCTCTTGAGAGGATGGAGTACTTTATTCTCTTCTTACTACTCTGAAGCACACACTGAGACAGGCAGGGAGGCAGAAACACAAGAGTGACACAGTGTGTGGGATGCCATGCAAATCCCAGGCCACCAAACCCAAAGCCTAGGCCTAATGATGCAGTACCATGCTCATCCACAAGGGTAGATGACTATCCCCAGACTCTTTGCAGGTGTCATCCATGCCCACTTCCCCAGTGCTTGGGGCCTGACATCAAGCACACTGAAGATACCCAGCCAGGCAAGAGCTCAAGATCCTGACAGGCACACAAGATGGTGTGGCTTGAGGACACAGAGGTAGAGAGGCAGGATATGGGATTGCCAGAGGCATGTGGTTTGTTGGCCTTACCTCCTTTCCAAAGCAGGTAGATGGGAACCACATAGAGCATGACATGCTGGATGTAGTAAATCTCCAATTCAAAGGGGAGCTGTGGGGACAAGATGGAGAGAGGCATTTCAGAACAGGAAGCACTCACTGCATTCCATTCAGAATACGAACACCCATATCCTTTGTGATCCATAAGGTACCCTCCTTGACATCTCATCCATTCACATCCCTTCACAATTTGGGGAAAAAATAAATGAAATAAATAGATTTTTCATGTAAGCTGGCATCTTTCAAGGTGTATTTGAAAATCACTCCATGGAAAACAAAAACGTGTGTTAAGAATTGAGGAAATATTGCATATATTTTATCTCCCCACTTGGAGATTCATCATGCATATTATTGACACATGATTGATGAGAGTGGTTTCCATAGAGAAAAACCTACTTAAGACAGTGTTCACAGAGATTTTCCACATCTTTTTTCTTAAGCAAAAAGATATTTAAAAATAATAGTACTCTGCAGAATATATTTGAAGATCAACAAAACCTTATATTATTTCCTGCTCCTGGAAAGCAGGTGGAAGAGTATTTAGAAGTTTACTCCTCATTTGAGAAGAACATACAGAGAAAGATGTATTGTCCTCATATGCCAAATGGAAAAAAAAAAAAAAAAAAGAATCCTAAGCCTGTTCGGGTCTAGATCTAAGAATAGTGAGTTTCTACAGGAAATAGTGGGGAGTCAGTGCAGGGTTTGCCCTGTTTCAGAATAAAGATCAAGGAGTTGGGTCAATTCTGACACAGCTTTCCAAAAGAACCTTCCTCTCCCTCCTAACATTCAACAAACCACCTCTCTCACCATTTCCAGTCTCCCCCCAAAACGCTAGATTACCAATTCTGTAGGGAAAGAGGAACTTCAGGATGTGACAAGGGGCCTCGTCTAGCGCATATTATCAACCCATCACATTTACCATGTGTGAGTGTGAGAGTGTGTGTGTGTGTGTGTGTGTGTGTGTGTGAGAGAGAGAGACACTGACTCCAAGACAAGCCCACAGAGACAAGGACTCCCAAGGAAAGTGTCAACTGCTTTCTTGCTCCCTTCAAGGCAAGCACAGAATCATGACTGTGTGTTAATAAGAGGAAGCAGTTATAGGCACCCAAGGCTCAGGAGCCCAAGCCTGCCTTGTGCCAAGGACTGAAAAAAGATGGCAGAGCTCCCAAAATGGTAGTTGGGACAACTGGAGACCCTGGACACAAACAATGGCTCTGGCACTTGACAACAGAAATACACACTGAAGGACAACTTCCCAGGGACCAAGGTGATACACAGCTTCCACTTTATGTTCACGGAGACATGTCCAAACCCAAAAAAGCAGACAATGTTCCAAGCCATGCTACAGAAGATGATGACATCAGACACTCAGCGTCACTAGCACAAGGCCAGTATGGAGGCCTAAGAAGCTCACATTTGACACTAATGTAGTCATGGATGACTATAGTAGTTTAAATTGGGATATTGCTTTATGCTTTTTGAACATGTTTACAGCATGATTTACTCAGGCTCCTGAATTTGACCGATGAAGAACCTGAGGTATGAAAGGTTTAACTGATTCACTTCAATGAAATCATCCAACACCAGGCAAGGAGAAAAAGGTCCCAGGAAGACTCAGTTCCCTGGTTACAATCAGAACACTAACCTTCCCCCACCAAAAAAAAAGGGGCCTTGGAAGCCAGGATGTTGACCTATGGTTTGGAGCACAGAAACAGAACAAGGCCACGTGTCCATTAGTCCCTGTATATCCCCATGCAGCTCCTCTGCCCTCTTTTACCTCTCAGACTCCTGATGCCCACCTGTGTGTACCTCATGCAGAGCCCTCCTAGAAATAAAGTGTCCATCTGCATGAGTCAGAAGACCCCTAATCACAGTGGTTGCAAACTATTTCCCAGTCTGTCATGTCCACATTCCAGATTTAACAATGCTACTCAACAGATGTACGGCCTTGGACATGTCACTTAACCACTCCACTCTAGTTTTGGAATCAACAAAATGGAAATAATTATAAACATTTTGTAAACTATTAACTGAACTACCTCAATTATCTCCCTTTTACAGGTGAGAATCTGGGGTACAGAGATTAGATAACTTAGAGCTCATTCAGTGACAGAAGCAAGATTCAAGTGTAAGAAGTTTGCCTTAGAGTTCGTAGTTTCTGCCAGTATGTAGTAAGCCCTCTGTGCTGGAGAGTTTTAGTGTCAACTTGACACACCTGGGTTGAGGGAGCTTCAATTGGGGAATCACCTTCATTGGACTGGCCTGGGGCACCTTCTTGATTGTTGAGTGATGGGGAGGGCCCAGTGCACTGTGGGTGCTCCATGGCCTGTGCTCTAGTTCGTGCCTCCAGGTTCCTGCCCTGAGTTCCTACCTTGGGCTCCCTGGGAGATGTAAGCTGAAATAAACCCTTTCCTCCCCATGTTGGTATTGGTCAGAGTATTTTGGCACAGCAGTGGAGAAACAAACTAGGACATCCTCCCTCAGTATCTGTCTGATATTGGCTCCAAGATTCTACCACCATATACCAAAATTTGTAGATGTTCAAATCCCTTGTAATAAAAATGGTGTAGCACTTGCAAAAATCCTATACACATCTGCCTAGACACTTCAAACCAAGGGTGCCCAACCTGTGGCCCATGGGCCACATGCTTCCCAGGAGGCCTACGAATGCGGCCCAACACATTTGAAGATCACAATGTTACATCACAATGTCAAAAGGCTGGACACTGATGTTAAATTATATCTAGACAACTTATAATCCCTAATATAATGTAAATGCTGTATAAATCATTCTCATGGTGTATTTAGGGAATAACAACAAAAGGTACATATTCTTTACAGATGTAATATTTCAGATATACTTAATCTAGCTGGTGAAACTGTGGATATGGAATCTGTGTTTCAGAAACCTATGGGTAAGAAGGGCTGTTGAACTCTACCTTCCCTTGATCAGTACCCCTCCAAAAGGCCAGAAGGTGTTAAACCAGAGTAGCAATGTGGGGTGGGGTGGGGGATAAGGGGGGTGGCAAAGGGAATAGGACATGACCCCAATTGTCTCTCTACATGGTGACATGGCCCAGTCCTTCCTGTTCAAATGAGCCTCATGTTCATAGCCTGTTCTGCCCACTGTCACCCCTTCCCACATATCAGTGTCTAATCTTGTCCTATAATGAAAGCTTCCTGAGCCTCCTGTTGTTGGTTCACTGAATGTCTGCTGCCACACTGGTCACAGACCTCATTTGGGGTGACCATTGTTCCCAAAAGTTTCTGTCCTCTGAGGGTCATCCTATTCCTAGAGTTCTCTACCATGGGATGCCATAAAGAGAGCCGACCTAGGTACTGATGCTGTTTATAGGACTATCCCCTGAGCTAAAGGAACACCATCCTCAAAAGTTCCCTGGTGCCTGCTGGCAAAAGACATCCCAGCTGGACTTGTTGACTCTTGATGTTCCTCATAGAAGAAGAGAGCAAGGAAGGTCATGGGACCCTCAGCTAAGCCTCCAGCCACTCTTTCCAATCAATTGTGTATAATTCTGCCCTAACTGCACATGGCATTAGGGTCTTGGGAGGGGTTAGAGTATATAGGCTGGAAAGGTCTAGGGGAAGGGACTTCATCGACACAGCCATGGGGGAGTTAACTCTTAATCTTATTCATGTTGGGTACAGACCTTCCAGTGCAGCTGTTTGGGGGTCAAGCACGCTCCTGTCAGTAACCACTCACTCGTGTTCTATAAGGAAGTCCAATAAACTCACTGGGTCCTTAGAGGGAACTTTGGCGAAACTGAACATCGGTTTATTATTAGGACCGTAGGAGATAGATGCTGCTTAGTGCCCACCTCAGGGAGTAAATTCTCACAACAGTTGCCAAATGGCAGGCAGGGCTAGGTAGAGGAAGGAGATAAAGGTGACGTGTAGGAGAAGAGGGAGGGAAAAAGAGGATGGAGCTGAAAGGGAGGTGTTGAAGATCAGGATACTGGCAGCAATGGGAAGCGAGCCAAATAGCAGTGGAAACCCTACCACTTAACCAATTAGTAGCAAATTAGACTTATTAAGGACTTCTATTAAGCACTACGTGATGTATAAAATACTTTTGAATAATTCTAACATTTAATTGCTGCAAACCTCCCATCAACTGGTTATATGTGGGGAAATGGTTAGACCCATTTGACAGATGAAGAAACTAAAGCACAGGCAGAGAACCTAAAAATTATCCAAGAAAGCAGCATACAGAGCTGGGGCCAGAGATACTCAGCAATGGGGAAAGCAAAATACATTTCTTCTTTACTGAGCCTGAGTTCAGGCTTGCCTACAAACTCTCTCATGGAGCCTTCTTTACCCTCTTTTCTCCATTTAATAAACCATATCTGCCACACTTCGCCCAGAAGTAACATGATTTGGTTTTTCATTTCTACCCTACCGAACTCACACCTGGAACTCTAATGCACAGCTTCATTCTTTTTCAGCTGTAGGAATCTTGGGAGTATAGCCACAACTACTTACATTGCTGCGATTCAAAGTCCAGAATAATAAAAATGTCAACACCATTTTGTTTTGTTTTGTTTCAGCATAGAAGGAAACTGAGTAGAAAGTTATCTGGGCCTTTGCAGTCCAGTTGGCCAAAACATTAGGTATATGGACCCTGCCTATGGCAAGGTTCCTAACCTGCTCCTCCCATCTCACAACCCTGATGGCTACACCATCTTACTCTGACTTAGAGACCAAGTCCATTTTGCCCTACATTCTTGTTTACTACAGTCACCAAAGAAGACCAAGACACAGATCATCTACTAAAACCTGACCTCCAATTTCCATATGGACATCCCCTCATCTGTCTGATTTCTCATCCCTTCCCAGTTCTTGAACTCCTTCTCCTCTATTCTTTTGGGACCACTGGCCATCACTAATACAATTTATTATATCTTCAAACTCTTATTGAACAATCCAATCCCTTCACCTTCTTGCATTAACAAACAGTTCATTTGTTCTCGAAAGATGATGTTGTTCTCACTGCTCTCCCAAATGATGTTTCTCCTTCCATACCTGTTTATGTTT